CACTACACTGATCATTTGTAACAATGTTAATGCTACAGAGGTACAGTGTAACAAATGTTCTGCTATAGTGTTTACACTGTATTTCCACTAGTCAAGTCAAGTCAAGTTTATTTGTACAGCGCTTTTCACGATGCAAATCATTGCAAAGCAGCTTTACAGCAAATTAAGTTTCTACAATATTTAGTCTAATATTTAATATTTATCACTACACTGATAAATAGCAGTATTTACATTATGAAAATATTTAACAATATTTCCAATTTAGGCTAGCTTATCATTGTTTCCACTGAACTGACACAAAGTAACATTATTCTGTTACAGATTACACGATACAATGTATCGGTATTTCTGTTAGTGATAATGTTTCACTGTATTTTTATTACAATGATACATTGTAACAATATTTTCACAACAGAGGTAGTGTAACAATGTCTCTTATAGTGTGAAGCATTGTTTCTGCTCAAGTGTAATCTGTTTTTTACTACAATGATGAAGTGTGACAATATTTCAAATATAATGATATTTAACAATATTTCCAGTACAGCATAACAATATTTCCACTAAACTGATTCAATATAACATTTTTGTTACAGATCACATAATGATACAGTCTAGTTGCAGTATTTCTGCTAGTGATAATGTTACACTGTATTTCCATTATAATGATACGTTGTAGCAATATTTTCACTACAGAGGTACAGTGTAACAATGTTTCCTATAGTGTGAAATACTGTTATGTTCCACTCAGCATGCCACATACACCAGTGGAAGCTGGCATCTTTTCAAAGTTTAGAGACAATTCTTATAGTTCAGGTGTAAATTCATATGGGTTGTATCAATATTTTCACTACAGAGGTACAGTGTAACAATGTTTCCTATAGTGTGAAATACTGTTATGTTCCACTCAGCATGCCACATACACCAGTGGAAGCTGGCATCTTTTCAAAGTTTAGAGACAATTCTTATAGTTCAGGTGTAAATTCATATGCATTTTGCAGTGATGTGCAGTGTTTAAATTGCATCCATAATAATAATAAAAAACTGAAAACAGAATATCGAATGCTCCACTCATGTGAAATGCACTTTAAATTACAGTATCTATAAAAAGCGCTGTATAAATGAAGTTTATTGTGCTGGAGCTCTTGTGCGTCATTGACACACAGATAAGTGAGGAGACCTTACCTGCCTGATTATGCAGTCTCACCACTGGTTAGTCCTTGAGTGACGACTATTCCCTTCTTTGCTACCCAGAGAGAGTTAGAGAGAAAGAGAGAGAGAGAGAAAACTCAAATCCTCGGCACCCGTCGGACATCTAACGACAAGTGTCGGAAATGTTTTCACGCTCCTCTGAGCATCGGTTTGTGCCAGGCAATCAATGAGCTGTCAGCATCACAAAAACGGACCGACTGTCAGCTTCGACGCCATTCAGATCGCCAATGCTAGAATGAAGGGCTCCCACTCTGTCAAGAGGCACCGCATAACTATAGTAAGTGCTAATTACTCATTCTAATTAGGATGATTAAATTTAGATTAGAAGAAAAAGGCCGTTTGTAATGAGGCTGTTGTAATATGCAAAGCCATTGAGAGTCAGAAAGGAAGCAGATTTGTTGACACAGGAAGGTTTTAATGTGTAATGCACTTGAAACCGGTCCAGGCTGTGAGATTTTAGATCATATTTGGCAAATGTTTAATCAGAACAACAGTGAATGTTGTGATTAGCCCCTCAAATGGTGTAAACCCCGATTGATTTTGTTGTAACACTGGCTGCATCAGATATTGACTGAGGATTGAGACATTTAAAGTGAAACTATGTTGAGATCTTATCGGCAACAATAATGTTTTTATAGGCGGCTTGCATGTTGTGATAGAGAAATATTACTCTGTACTCTCTAGAATGTCCTAGATGTGAGCGTTTGTCCTAGAGGGAGAATTTAGGACACAGTCTTTTTAAGGATCTCTCATGGTCCTAAATAATGATTTCAAATGATTTTGCACTGCAAACTCCAGTTAACATACTTCAGACTTCTCGTTTGATGTTTTTTTTAATGCAGTTATTCATGCATTTAAGATTTAAGTGTTCAGTCTCTTATTAGTAAAAGAAAAAATAGCACTGACTCAACACCTGCTTTTCTACAAATCACAGCTAGTTTGAATAAGGTTTTGTACCTGATAGACTTACGTTCCTCAGATTGGCCATTGAAAATGGTTTGCTAATCTAGTCTAATCTAGGTTACCATTTTAAATGTAAACATTAAATTAATATTACATGTAATTTTTTATTTTATTTAATATTGTGTTTAATGTTAGGTTTGAATATAGGTTTAGACTTTTTAAATCCCCCTGTTTAGATGGTAAATCTATCCTTATTTTATCAAGTCAAGTTAACCAGTTCCTATTTACTGTGATGTTATTCATCGAATGAGTCTGACATTTGTAGTTACCAGTGTTAATTTTGACAGCATATTTTGATTTAGTTTTAGTCATAGTCTTTTGACTAAAATGCCATTTAGTTTTAGTAATATTTTAGTCATCTGAAATGTTTTTAGTTTTAGTCGACTAAATATCATAAGATTTTAGTCGACTAAATTACAGTAAATTTAGTCGGCTAAAATCTAATGGGTTTAGTTACAGTGTAATGCATTTATTAAGCATTTCTCAAAAATTTCCAAACTCATTATATAGGTTTGATATTAAGGTTTTATCATGATAGATATTTAACTGCTGTGACACACAACATGCCTTTATGTTTGTGTGTGTGTGTGTGTGTGTGTTTTTTGTTTTAGCTGCAAATTTTTTTTGCAGTTCACATAGACGGTGTTCAAAGTACAAATATTCCATGTGAGCAATCAATTAATAGGAGGTCATACAAACTGCATGCATGACAATAATACAAGAATTTTGATTTTTTTTATTTGAGTTTTAGATTAAATAGCACTGCATAACACTACTTGACAGTAACATTTTGCAGTGATGTGCAGTGTTTAAATTGCATCCATAATAATAATAAAAAACTGAAAACAGAATATCGAATGCTCCACTCATGTGAAATGCACTTTAAATTACAGTATCTATAAAAAGCGCTGTATAAATGAAGTTTATTGTGCTGGAGCTCTTGTGCGTCATTGGTTAGAAAAGGGACACACAGATAAGTGAGGAGACCTTACCTGCCTGATTATGCAGTCTCACCACTGGTTAGTCCTTGAGTGACGACTATTCCCTTCTTTGCTACCCAGAGAGAGTTAGAGAGAAAGAGAGAGAGAGAAGGCTCAAATCCTCTGTACCCATTGGACATCTAACGACAAGTGTCGGAAATGTTTTCATGCTCCTCTGAGCATTGGTTTGTGCCAGGCGATCAATGAGCTGTCAGCATCACAAAAACGGACCGACTGTCAGCTTCGACGCCATTCAGATCGCCAATGCTAGAATGAAGGGCTCCCACTCTGTCAAGAGGCACCGCATAACTATAGTAAGTGCTAATTACTCCATTTTGCAGTGATGTGCAGTGTTTAAATTGCATCCATAATAATAATAAAAAACTGAAAACAGAATATCGAATGCTCCACTCATGTGAAATGCACTTTAAATTACAGTATCTATAAAAAGCGCTGTATAAATGAAGTTTATTGTGCTGGAGCTCTTGTGCGTCATTGACACACAGATAAGTGAGGAGACCTTACCTGCCTGATTATGCAGTCTCACCACTGGTTAGTCCTTGAGTGACGACTATTCCCTTCTTTGCTACCCAGAGAGAGTTAGAGAGAAAGAGAGAGAGAGAAGGCTCAAATCCTCTGTACCCATTGGACATCTAACGACAAGTGTCGGAAATGTTTTCATGCTCCTCTGAGCATTGGTTTGTGCCAGGCGATCAATGAGCTGTCAGCATCACAAAAACGGACCGACTGTCAGCTTCGACGCCATTCAGATCGCCAATGCTAGAATGAAGGGCTCCCACTCTGTCAAGAGGCACCGCATAACTATAGTAAGTGCTAATTACTCATTCTAATTAGGATGATTAAATTTAGATTAGAAGAAAAAGGCCGTTTGTAATGAGGCTGTTGTAATATGCAAAGCCATTGAGAGTCAGAAAGGAAGCAGATTTGTTGACACAGGAAGGTTTTAATGTGTAATGCACTTGAAACCGGTCCAGGCTGTGAGATTTTAGATCATATTTGGCAAATGTTTAATCAGAACAACAGTGAATGTTGTGATTAGCCCCTCAAATGGTGTAAACCCCGATTGATTTTGTTGTAACACTGGCTGCATCAGATATTGACTGAAGTTGTATTGAGACATTTAAAATGAAACTATGTTGAGATCTTATCAGCAACAACAATGTTATTATTATAGGCGGTTTTCATGTTGTGATAGAGAAATATTACTCTGTGCTCTAGAATGTCCTAGATGAGAGCATTTGTCCTAGAGGGAGAATTTAGGACACAGTCTTTTTAAGGATCTCTCATGGTCCTAAATAATGATTTCAAATGATTTTGCACTGCAAACTCCAGTTAACATACTTCAGACTTCTCGTTTGATGTTTTTTTTAATGCAGTTATTCATGCATTTAAGATTTAAGTGTTCAGTCTCTTATTAGTAAAAGAAAAAATAGCACTGACTCAACACCTGCTTTTCTACAAATCACAGCTAGTTTGAATAAGGTTTTGTACCTGATAGACTTACGTTCCTCAGATTGGCCATTGAAAATTGTTTGCTAATCTAGTCTAATCTAGGTTACCATTTTAAATGTAAACATTAAATTAATATTACATGTAATTTTTTATTTTATTTAATATTGTGTTTAATGTTAGGTTTGAATATAGGTTTAGACTTTTTAAATCCCCCTGTTTAGATGGTAAATCTATCCTTATTTTATCAAGTCAAGTTAACCAGTTCCTATTTACTGTGATGTTATTCATCGAATGAGTCTGACATTTGTAGTTACCAGTGTTAATTTTGACAGCATATTTTGATTTAGTTTTAGTCATAGTCTTTTGACTAAAATGCCATTTAGTTTTAGTAATATTTTAGTCATCTGAAATGTTTTTAGTTTTAGTCGACTAAATATCATAAGATTTTAGTCGACTAAATTACAGTAAATTTAGTCGGCTAAAATCTAATGGGTTTAGTTACAGTGTAATGCATTTATTAAGCATTTCTCAAAAATTTCCAAACTCATTATATAGGTTTGATATTAAGGTTTTATCATGATAGATATTTAACTGCTGTGACACACAACATGCCTTTATGTTAAAATGAAATAAAACCACGTCTCATAAAGAACAAGAATATGGTCTACTTTTTAATGAAATACCAATGGTTATATCGGCTAATTATGCATTCTTTATAGCAACTTGTTAACCATATTCTTCATTCTTTCAAGCAGACATATTTATTTCTATAAATACATTTAGATTAATCTTTAAGGCTACTAAAGTTTTTCAGTCAAGAGCAGTGCGTGATTTTCTGTCTTTCTTTTGTTGCTTGATTAACATCAATGACTCGGACAATAGCAACTAAAATAGGCTGCTGTCCCTTTAAAACCGAATGCACAGCTGATACATACACGTTCTCCTTACTGTTTACGTTAATTTAAGACGTAATCAACTGTGTTTACGTGAATACTCGTCAAAACGGACAATTCGACATAATTTTGTGTGTAATTCTCCGTTCATGCGTTGCGAAAGAGTACTCGCGCGCTGTGAGAGGCGCTTTCTGTGTGTGTGTATAGTGTCTGCGCTCAGAAAATCGGACCGAATTGAGTTCACTCTTGCATCGTCAGTGTTATCCATATGTCTACTCTTCTCTTACTCCCACATATTGACATTATTTGAACGTTTTATGCGACGTGCAGCAAGTGTATTGCCGGTTCATATGTACGTGTAACCTCCGAACCAGGCAGCAGATTCGTTCTGAATGAATCTCATCCCAAATCTTCCCTCCCTAACATTTTCGTCTCGTTTTTATTCGTTGCCGAAAATGTCAATAGATTTACGTCATAGTTTTTGTTATTCAAAAAGAGTTTTAGTTTGTTTAGTTTGTCAGCCTACATCCTTCATAGATGGACGCTGCTGTGATTTAGGTTAAAAACGTGTAAATAGTCAGTACATATCAAACAATATCAAGCAATAGTGACCACGTAATAAAAACAGTTACTCACACTTGTGTGTTGCGACATTACTATCGAATCTGGTGTAGTTGGTAGGCTACTAGGGATGTAACGATTAACTGCAAGCCGGTTGAAAATCGATTCAAATATGTGACGATTGAAATCGGTTGAGATGCTAAACCAATCGAGATTCATTTAGGGGTAGGAGTTTATATGAATGAATGTCTGAGGGGAACTAACTGTCTTTAGAAAAGTTTAGATGGTATTTTTTCTTTTCATCTTGCCTCTGTATAATGCATATTAAAGTTCATAAGTGCAGCGCTCCTTTGTTTACAGCAGAAACCAAGGAAACGCTTTAAGCGCCACCTACTGGCAGAGAGTGAATCTGCGTCTCATTCAGCTCGTCTGCTGTTTCTGTTTCATGCAGATATTTTTATGTATAGTTTCACAAAACTGAAGTCAAACCATTCTGTTTTTGCATCAAATTTCGAAATTATACAATTTAATTTAAATTAAAAACTGCTCATGTTGCATGTATGGAGCATCTTTGTTTGGATCATGATTAAAATGCATCATGTAAAAAAAATTATTAAAAGTTGTTGCCTCTAATTGTAAATGGAAAGAGCACAGACAAAGCCTTAATTTGTTTATATGAAGAGATTTCTTTTATTTGTGTTTCTTATTTATTTGATTTGGGGCTTGTTTGTAAATTTCAATTTAGTTTCGTTATTTACATTATATTAAAATTTTGTCATTTAGCAGACACTTTTATCCAAAGGGACTTACAAATGAGGACAATAGAAGCAATCAAAACCAACAAAAGAGCAATAATATGCAAGTGCTATATTAGTATATTATTATAGTGTTATATTTCAATTTTAAAAAGAAATGTGCAGCATTTTGTCCAAGCAATAATAAAAGAACACATTTAATTTATAATTTGTCTTAAATCTCATTTTGTAAAAAATAAAAGAAATTGTGAATCGAATCATGAAATCAAAATCGTGAATCGATTCAAATCCAATCGTCAGTTGAGTGAATCGTTACATCCCTATAGGCTACAGCATCATCTTTTAGTTTCAATCTTTCTCAAAATCCTGGGTCGAATTGTGCCTTGTTTGTAAACAAATCTGCGGTAAAATGAGGGGAACAAAGGAGGACCAAGTTCTTACTGACACGGTCTGGAACTTCATTAAAAATAAAGTTCATCAACTCTTTCCTAATGTAGGGATTAGAAGGAAGGCAATGCAGACTGTTTTTCCACATCTTGGCACTGCACAGCGTCTTGTTGTCTTCAGAGCCATCTTTATAGTTTAGTTTCTGCATAGACATGCGCAAATCGGTGGGCGGAGCTAAACAGGCAGTGATGAAGCAGGGGTTGATCTTTTGTGGAGGCGGTGTTTAGCCACATTGTTACATCATAAAGTGGCACATTCCATAAACTGTTGTTGGCTTCAATATGGCTTCAATATAATCTGTTTTTAGACTAACGAGAAAGTTCTGAGTTCTGAAACTTACAGTATGTTTTTAAAGTACAATGACCTCTTATGTCAAAATATCAAGGGAATTTTGATTTCTCAGTTCATGACCCCTTTAAAATATATTAAAATTGAAAACAGTTATTTTAAATTGTAACTATATTTCACAATATACGTTTTTTTTTATAAATTCTCTCAAAAACTTTAAAAAAGAAAAGAAAACTGACCTCAAACTTTTGAAAGGTAGTTTATAGTGGGGTACAAATGTCTAAGACCACATTGCAAATTTAGTATTGATAACTGAATTTAAAACTGGAAACAAATAAGTTTTAGGGTTAAAAACTGTAAGACAAATCTATTGTTATTATGTGAAATGAATAAGAATTTATGATTCTGCAATATTTGTAGGTCATGAATCAAATAGATAATTTTGAGCCAGTGACCATGTGAACTTTTTTGTGCAGACGGTACAAAATGAAGCACAAGATGCTCTTTGGAACATCTTGGCTCCTGCCTTTGCTTTCGTCCACTGTTATTTTGTGGTAATACCGTATTGACCCCAATATAAGTCTAGACTTTGACATGTCAATAATACACCCACAACAATAGGTGGAGCCAAATATGCATAAAACGAGTGTGCCATGAAATACGTAATGTAATGCGTGTTGTAAAGATCGCGAGTAAAAACAAAAGAAAAACAAAACCTTACAGGTGCATGAGTCGTGACTGTCACGTTAGCCTGATGGGACTAAACTCCCTTTGTGATTTTAAAACGTAAGACAGTACCCAGATTTGAAGACTACAGTAAGATTTAACTTCTACTGTTAATAAGATTTTGGTAGGCTACTATTAGATGGATAGCCTAAATTCAGATAGGCTACCTGTTTTTTTTTAAAGTGTATATTTTTTTAATGTGATTGTTGGTACATTTTACCAGTTTTTACCATACTTTCAAAACAAAATTAAAATAGGAAAAATATGAAAATAATTGAAGACAAAATGTGTTTTACTGAGAAAAAACAAGATTTGGCTTTAAAAAAGCCTTTTTCCAAAAGGTACATCTGGAAAAAAGGGGGTCGTCTTATATTCGGGCCAATACGGTACAACTAATTGATTACTAACTGGCTATTGATTTTTTTTTTTCTTTTAAAAAGCTTATCTTTGATCTGATTCATTGCTGTATGGTGCTGCTCTCATCATTGTCTCAGTGCTGCTTTATGACATTGAAGGCTTTTATGAGCTTCTGCTATCTATTTTGGACCTTAAACCTCATTTTGTAGTTTAAAGCAATAGTTCAACCTAAAATGAAACTTCTGTGATCATATACTCACCCTCATGTTGTTCCAAACATGTCTTCTGTGGAACACAAAAGGTGATTTTTCAACAATTCCATTATTTGTAGAGCAAAATAGATCAAATAATAATTTATATGACTAGTGGTCATGTAATAGTTGAACTAAAACCTGTGGAGTTTGAATTACAAAATGAAGTAATCTTGACCAAGGTTTACTAGTACTACCCAATTTTGTAATACTTAAGGTCTTTTCATGACTTGAATACCATGACTCACAGTGATGCAGGCAACATCTCAGGTATTGTTTCAGTCTCCATCCACGTCATACCTCATTTCCTGAATCCCTTATTGAGAGATATTGTTCATTTTTCTTTATACCGGCAGCACGCATGCTGTGGCCTTTTCATCTACATTGAATATTATCATTAAGATGTCTATTGCAGTTATTTTGAGGGCTAATTTTTTTAGGGTTCCAGATGGACCGGCATGCTGCTTGAAAATGTATCATAGATGAGTCTTCGCTGTGCAAACCGATGGTGTCATCACTGCCTTTTGTTTGCTCAGTGATGCTGACATATTAAATAGATTTACTACAGTCATGGCCACTAATTATCATCGCTCATCCATTACAGTTATTGATTCAATGAGGTAGCTGGGTGTTTTTGTCTTTTGGGTAATGCTGTTTGAGATGTTAACATCATCATTAGTGGCACTGAACTATTTTACATTCTTATAACTTCACATTCACTGTCAAATTTTAAACAAATAGTTTACCCAAAAATTGTAATCTGCTGAAAATTTAGATCGATTTAGTTGTAGATGAGTTTGTTTCATTGGAGCAGATTTGGAGAAATTGAGCATTGCATCAATTGCTCACCAATGAATCCTCTGCAGTAAACGGGTGCCGTCAGAATGAGTCCAAACAGCTGATAAAAACATCACAGTAATTCACAAGTAATCCACACAACATCTTGTGAAGTGAATAGCTGCGTGTTTGTAAGAATCAAATCCATCAAGACGTTTTCAACTTCAAACCATTACTTTCACCTAAAATATAAGCCCTCTTTCTATAATGCTGCTTTCTTCATTGAAAGTCTGAATCAGGAGAGAAATATGCACAGATTAAGCACCGTTTACAAAGCAAAAAAGTCTACTTTAGCCTACTTTTTCACTGTAGGAAATGGACTAGTCATTTGGCCAGAAGTTAAAAACCTCTTAATAGCTGATTTGTCTCATACATGCAGTAACACGCATCTTTTCACTTCACAAGATGTTAATTGATGGACTGGAGGGGTGTGAATTACTTGTGGATTATTGTGATGTTTTTATCAGCTGTTTGGACTCTCATTCTGACGGCACCCATTCACTGCAGACAGAGGATCTGGTGAGCTTTGGTGATCTCCAAATCTGCTCCCATGAACAAACATTCATTAAAATTTCAGCAAATTTTCATTTTTGGGTGAACTACTCCTTTAAATTCTCTGTCACTTTAAATTCTTATAACTTAATAGTCACATAAAAACGCTGGTGTCCATTTCTATAAAGTACCAAATCTTAGTTATACTTGACTAGCAGGAAGAAACTTTGTCTTCAAAAATCAGCAACAAATAATAATTTTGAAAAAGTATCCCTCTCTATTTCTAAAAGGATGCAGCTCCAGTATTTTTCAGCGATAAAGGAAGTCAAAACAGAAATCCAGGAAACCATCTGACATTTTGTCCAGATTACTTTATTTACATGTCTCCCTTATGAGGGGAAACTTAAGAGGCACTGTACTGTAGCACAAACAGATGTCAACTGAAACTCTTTGACCTGCTCGGTTCACAGATATATATCCTTGATGGGAGGAAATGAAGATATTTCCTGCGGTGAAGCTCCTCTTTGAGGTTGTCGGGTTCAAATATCTTCATGCAAACAGCATTTGACATTCCCTATGTTTTCATTTACCTGGCATTTAACAGCTGTCAGACTACCAAAACGAATGCAGTATACAGAGATCTCCAAAATGAGTAGAATTTTAGTTAAAACTTTTTAATGTTCTGACAGTTTTATCTAATTGAAAGGCTGTTGCATTCACACAAAATTATATGGAAGTTTAGGATTGAGAATGCTCTTGAAAGTCTCTTATGCTTACCAAGGCTGCATTTATTTGATAAAAAAATACAGCAAAAACCGTAATATTGTGAAATATTTTTTTACAATTTATAATAACTGGTATCTAGTGTAATATATTTTAAAATGTAATTTATTCCTGTGATGCAAAGCTGAATTTTCAGCATTATTACTCCAGTCCTCAGTGTCACATGATCCTTCAGAATTAATTCTAATATGCTGATTTGCTGCTCATGATTTTTTATTATCATCAATGTTGAAAAGAATTGTGCTGCTATTTTTGTGGAATTGGTACTACATTATTTTTTTTCAGATGTTTTAATAAATTGAATGCTCAGAAGAACAACTTTAATTTGAAACCGAAATCTTTTGTAAAATTATAAATGTCTTCACTTTCAGTTTTGATTATTATAATGTGTCCTTGAGCACAAAAAATACTTTCTTTAAAAAAAAATCTTACAGACCCCAAACTTTTGAACAGTAGTATATTTGTTTTTACTAATCTTTTTCCCCCCCATCTGTCTCCAGCACACATCACACACGGATGGGCGGAATGAAGTGGCGTCCCGTCCAGGGCGGTCAGGGGCCCGCTGTCGGAACTCCATCGCCTCCTGTGCCGATGAACAGCCACATATCGGCAACTACCGGCTCCTCAAAACCATCGGCAAGGGCAACTTTGCCAAGGTCAAATTGGCACGACACATTCTCACAGGACGAGAGGTGAGCTTCATGAAGATCTCAATGGAGAACTTTTGGATTTTGCTATATATATAGAGAGAGAGAGAGCACGGTTTGCTTTTTTATAACTTTTTTGTATGATAACATTTTTTACAGTTAAACATAACTGTAAATTTTCTACATACAAATAATGTCATTATGCAAAAATAAATTACTTAATGGTCCTTAAAGTATCTCTAAAATAGCAATATTATAAGTAAATTATTATAAATAGTATTTGTTTTTATTTAGGAATGAAATACAACCCAGACTTGTTCCCAAATGCTTTAGTGAGATTCACCCTGATGTTGAGTTGAGCTGCGGAGATAAAATCATAATATTGAGGCTCTTTTACTGACTACTCGTCAGACTTCATTGAACAAGCCAGTGAAATTTTTTTTTTTTTCTTGCAGGTGGCCATAAAAATTATTGATAAGACGCAACTTAATCCTACCAGCCTTCAAAAGGTAAACATTTCAGGATTACTGTTGAGCTATAAAAACCAGTCCTTCTCATTCTCAATCTCCCCCAGCCTTCTCTCTTTGAACTGGTTTAAGGATAAGAGTGTGCGAGAATGGAATCCCCCTTTTGTCCTTCCAGAGCGAATTAAACATTAACCACATATGTAGATAGCATGACTGTATTTCTTTGCAAGGGACAGTTGCTTTTGGACCGCTTTCTTTTTATTGCCTATTTTGTTATCTTTTTGATTTGACATTAGTTGACACATTTGTTTTCATCAGCACAAGATGCAGACCAAAAATCAAAGGGACTTCTGTTCAGAGTTGTGCATGATGGTAGAGCAGTAGCTGATGGAGGAACCCTCTGTGGACTTGGATTTCAGAGGCAGCTAATAATAGCAGGAGCCAAGAAATCAGAATGAGAGGCTCAAATAATAACTACACACATGCAGAGTGGAAAGCAGAGTGCTTAGATGGAACTCTTTGCTTAGCTTGAGTCTCCTGGAGTTTGTGACCTGTGTGTGTTTTTTTTACCTCCGGATGGACCGTATAGATCACATTGTCACATTGAGGCCAATGTGAGGTGTTGATGTTCTCTTCCACTGGCTGCCTTTTCCCTATAATTAGCCGGCACTTGTTTTTCCAGGCCATTGATTTAGGCCGTTTTCCATTTGTGAGCCGAATGACAGCCCATGACTTAGGTTGTGTCTCTGGAGTGGAGGTGGTGATCTGTTTGGGGCATAAGGGGCAAAGACTGGATGCGATCGAGCCCCAGTATGTATTTCCAATTAAGATGTCATGTCCTCAATAACCTGAGGTTGATTAATGAAGGTATGTTGGTTAGTATTGAAAAGCATCTGTCATTGTTTGGCTTGCTTTACATGGCATTCTTGATTGAAGGCATGAACGGAGTAACTCATTTGCAAAGTTTCCTTTAAAGTGATTGTGGAACAGAAAATGTAGACAAGATGGGTTGGCAAATTAATTGCTAGATGTTGTTTTTAAAGTGGCTGAATGTTATGGCTGATACAGATGTATAAATACTAATGTAGCCGGTGACATATAATACCAAGATATACAGTATATGCATGGTATTATATTTAATTTCCACACATTTGTTTCAGTTATATTATATTTTGTTTAAATATATATTTTTAAAATAATGACAAATTTATTTAAAAATAATACACTCTTAATAAATTAAATTAACATTCATACAAGTTTTACTTCAAATTATCAAATGAACACAAAAGGTGAGAATTTTTCAGGTGTACACATTATCAGATAGGCTAATTTCTTTTCCTGGCTTATATGACGGCCTACTACTAATTTTAAATATGGCTAGATAATTAATGATCAGTAGTGTACGTTTTTTTTTAGTTAGTGTAAGAAATGATTGCCTTCATTCAGAAAGGACACATTGAATTGATCAAAAGTGACAGTAAAGACCTGTATAATGTTATAAAATATTTCCTTTTTAAATAAATGCTGTTCTTTTGAAATCTATTCATAAAACAATACTGAAAAAAGTATCAAGGTTTTCATAAAAATATGACGCAGCACTACTGTTTTCGACATTGATCATAAGAAATGTTTGTTGATCATCAAATCAGCCTATTAGTATGATTTCTGAAGGATCATGTGACACTGAAGACTATATTCGATTTTTTTATGATATATTCAAGTATTAAACAGTTAATGTGAATTGTAATAATATTTCACATTATTACTGTTTTTTTACTGCATTTTTTATAAAAGAAAATGCAGCCTTGGAGAGCATAATAGACTTCTTTCCAAAACGTTTAACATCTTACAGGCTTCAGACTTGTGTATGTTTTAACCCAACACGACCATAAATAATATGACTAATTTGTTCTAAATGCCATGAATAATGTTAATTCAAATGTCGATATTTGATGTCAGATTATTTCAGTATTGTTCAACCTAGTATACTGCTCCATTTATATTATTTTCTCTCGACCTCTGCAAAGATGATGTTTGCTATCTCTGTCCATAACTCATGTCTGCGGTAGTGTGTAATGACTCGTCTGTACTGCATAGTCCTGGACAGGAGGCTGACTCATTATCACCGCTGATTCAGAACTTGCAGCCGTTACTCACTTTCACTGCTTGACATTTCAGAGCTCTGATATCTCATGTCTGATCTTTCGTATTATTATGGCGAAAGGGGATGTTGGAGTATTGGTAGCCAAATGGGTAAGATGCTACACTGCGAATATGAAGGTTGCAATAGGTGCAATTGAAGAACTGAGTCCTTAGAGACTTTCCTTGCAAGTCGTTTTGGATAAAAACTTCAGCTAAATTACAAGTAACAAGGTAGCTGCACTCCTCCTTACTTATTTTCTATAGAGACCAAGGTTTCTTAAGCAAAACTGGGTCACAGATTGTTTTATCTTCCAATTGACTGGAAGAACTTGTATTCAGTTCTGGTTTCAGCTTTATCTTTCTATCTTATTCTATTTTTCACTTAAGCATTAGATTCAGTATCAGGTGCAAAAACAAGCTTTTATAATGGCAGTTTATCTGTGTTGGGATCTTTGGCGAAGGTCTTGAGTGTTGCTTGTTGTGTAAGTCGATTGTTGTTTTCGTCTCTGGACTTTCTAATGAGACCCACATGTGGGAGTGAATTGGAAGCGGTGACCCCGTTTGGTTAAATAATAATATTGTCAGTAGTGGACAAACAATGGCTTGGATGGCAGTGCTAGAGCTAGATCTGAAAGTTTGACCCATATTGTCGTAGTCCATATCAGCGGTTCTCAATTCCAGTCCTCGCGTACCCCCGCTCTGCATGTTTTGCACGTCTCTCTTTGTTAACACACCTGATTCAGATCATCATCTCGTTAGAAGTGAGCTCCGTGCATGAACTGTGTTCCGATTGACATGGTCCCTACACAGTGTCCATTGCTCCCTACTCCCTGAGCAGGGGAAATCCGTTGAAGTTTACTTCACTTCGGAATATTCATTTACAGATTTGCACTGCGCTGCTGCCTGCAGCGTCTTCACACACATACGAAACTTACTAGAAAAGTGTGAAGTGGGACATAATATACCTCTGTAAATAAATACAATTTAAATTCACGTCTCGCACACTTAAATGCCCTTTGTATGGAACATACACGCTCGCTTCAAACTGGAATCATGGAGGAATATCCGGTAATGTCCACTTCGCAGGGCACTTCGTCAAATATAACAAACGTCTGAAGCAATAAGAGAAACATACAAAATGTGCAGAGCGGGGGTACGCGAGGACTGGAATTGAGAACTGCTGGTCCATATCACTCCCTGCATAAATAAAGAACTATAAATTAGGCTATTAAAGGCATACTTTAATACGGTCATTTACTTGGCCTTCATAAACCTGTATGACTTTATTTCTTCTGAGGAATGCAAAAGAAGATATATTAGAAAAAATGCCTGTCCATACAACGAAAGTCAATGGGGTCCAATGTTGTTTTGGATTTCAGCGTTCCTCAAATTGTTTTCTTTTGTGTTCCACAGAAGACAGACAGTCAAACAGGTTTGGAACAACATGAGGGTATGAACGTGATGACAGAACATTTGTTTTTGGATGAACTGTACATTTAATTATGTTTCTGGTTGGTTTCAGGAGTTTTTAGTTGTTAATATGTGACCCTGGACCACAAAACCAGTCTTAAGTCAATGGGGGAAAATTTGTAGCAACAGCCAAAAATGCATTGAATGGGTCAAAATTATAGATTTTTTTTTTATGCCAAAAATCATTAGGATATTAAGTAAAGATCATGTTCCATGAAGATATTTTGTAAAATTTCCTTCTGTAAATATATCAAAACTTAATTTTTGATTAGTAATATGCATCGCTAAGAACTTAATTTGGACAACTTTAAAGGCGATTTTCTCAATATTTAGATTTTTTTGCACCCTCAGATTCCAGATTTTCAAATAGTTGTATCTCTGCCAAATATTGTCCTATCCTAACAAACCATACATCAATGGAAAACTTATTTACTCAGCTTTCAGATGATATCTAAATCTCAATTTCGAAAAATTGACCCTTATGACTGGTTTTGTGGTCCAAGGTCACATATGAGACGGTATCAAATCATAATTATAGTTTTCTGGCGTTTTGGTTCATATTTGTTTGCATTCAAGTCATCTCTTTGCTAGTGTACTCCTAAACAATGACAAAATGACCTTTTATGTGCAGTTAAAATGTATAGTTTTTCTTTTCTGGGACAACTGACCAAAAATATCGATGATGCACCTTGTATTCATATTTTCTAGAATTTATCTAACATCAAATTTCACAGCATTAATAGAAGTAGTAGTAATAATATAAATTATTATTTATTTATATTTGATAAATTTACATTTATCTATTTATCTTATCTTATATTATTTGTATTATTGTTGTTGTTGTAAAATAATATTTATTTATGATTTAGGTGGTGTAAATTTTTTCTAGCATCTAATACCGCCCAATTATTCAGTTCAGTTACATTTTATTTGTATAGAACTTTTCGCAATACAAATTGCTACAAAGCAGCTTCACAAAAATATCACACACACACACATATATATATAAATAAAAAATGAAGTGCCATGCACTTTTGTGTTCATGGTTCTCACTTCATGTTTGCTGTTAGCAACTCTTTGTGGTTTATCACTCAGCAAACAAAACTCTTTGAGATCATATTGACACTAACAGTAGAATTTGACATGACATGGACATGCATAGACATGCAGTGATACTAGACACTGCATCTAATCGCTATGCTTGATACGGAGTCAGTTTTTACACGTCTTGGAGAGACGCTGTTTCGATTGGCATGCAGCACTTTGCCGTTAACCTTAATATTCAAATACAGCATCCACCCACACACCTCAGGCCCTCTCACAGACAATGACCACTTCTCTGCTTCCCAGAGCTTTTTCTTCTTTGTCTCTCACCGATGCATTTTTTTATTTGCGTTGGTGCGACCTCTTACGCAATTGCCGAGAGTGGG